AATTTTCGTCCATCAATATGCTCTATCCAAAACTCGTTGAGTGGAAAAGTTTTAGTTTCACCTTGTTGAATTCCGTAAAAAAAAAAAAAAAAAAAACTCCTTTAAGGAAAATTTAGCTATCCGATTATTCAAGAAAAATAATCAACAGATTAATCATTTTGTGAAATAATGATTAATGTCCCCACCTGCATGCAAGCTGCTCCTGATTCTGGTCTTAATTAACCAGAAAAAAGGAATAAAACAAAAATGACAAAAATAATTAAACTAGAAAACCCACAGTGGTGCTTCTAGGAAATGTTCACAGGAGTGGCAGGCAGGGATCCATGTGCACTGAGGGGGGGGCCCAAAACTAACAGGCACAAAAACCATTTCAGGGTCAATCTACACTGATCACAATGAATCTAAATCTACATTTTTTTTTTTTCCGAATAAATCACTGTGCAGGTAGCTGTGATCACGTGACCAAGTGAAAATCAGTGATCAACTGTCCGGTCAGTTCACTATAAAGTCCACTATATAGTCTCCACTCTAAATAATGATAGTGAGACGAGCTAAACAGGGTTTTCACACGTTTTGACCCCCGTCACACCACCCCCCTCCCTGCCCTCAACTTTACACACGTCTCCGACTCAAAGGCCATCAGAAACCTACCCTCCACCTCACCACCACTCTCACCAACCCCCTCCCCCTCACAGTCGCTGCGATGCAGTTGAGAGGTCAGCTGGAGGGACTTCAGGTTCATTTATACTGTAGGAGCCATTTATCCTTTGGTGTTTGTCGCCACCAGGGGGCGTATTTAATTTTGAGTTCTGAGTGTCTTATGGGGGGGATGGGTTATTTAACATCAATTCTGTTTAGGTGTGTTTAATAGGCTGAGGCAAACAGTTTTCTACTGTGATTGGTTTGGATGTATGTGGAATTTATGTGGATCTTAAGGGAAACAGTAAGACAATGGACATATTACTGAAAATAAATGACTTTATTTTATGCCTCAAACGGAAGATCAGCATTCTGAATCTTAATTGAGCGCACGTAAAACCAATGCCTTCCAAAGACAACCAGTAGCCTAAAATATAGGATTTTAGCCGCTACATATACTTTGAAACTAGGTCGTCTGCGTAGGTGTTGCAGTGAACAAAAAGCCGTCCCCGCCCCCTCCGCAGACACTCTGCTGCACCTCTCCCAAATTGTAGCTGACTGCAGACAGGAGGCCGGCTTGTTTTGTTTTTATGACCGCAATTGCAAAAAACAGCTTGTGAAGTTGGACTAGCTAGAAGAGCGAGGTACACGAGAACGCTGGGACCCTTTTTCCACCTGGATCCCCGCTCTTTTTTCAACCTCATGTCCCTCCGTTGTCGGACAAACTCGCCCCCACTTCCTCACCGCCTCAGCCTATCTAGACCCACAGCGTATAGTGCAGACCACGGTAAAAATTGAGCATAAATCAAAAATGTCTGTGTCAAGCTCACTGCGACACACTCAGGGTTCTAGCGGGTCCTTAAAAAGTCTTAAAAGGCATTGAATTCTTAAAAATAAAACTGAGGCCTTAATTGGTATTAAAATGTCTTAAATCAGTCTTTCGTAGGTCTTAATTTTTAAAAGATCATAAATAGGCTAATTTTTATTCCAATTTATTTTTGCAATCTAAATAAAACGTTAAAAGTGAATTTTTTTTTTTTTCATAAAAACAAAAAAAATGAATGGCTGGCCATTATTGGTTCCATCCCTATAGCAGAACCAATAAAGCGTTGTTGTGGCCGGGACATTTGGGAGATGCACCATTAACTTTTTGTCTAGAGTGGGGGCAAGTGTAAATGTAACGAAAATTGTCTATTCAGCCAAGAGTTTTCTCCATGTCTAAAACCAGTACCAGGGAACATACATGAGGCACAGAGTATTTTTTGCAAGAAGTCATTCAAGCTCGGAACAATAGGAATTAAGGCAGTGGAATCGCACATGTGAAGCGCGAAATACAAATCGTCAAAATCGAGAAACAGCCAGTATTTCTTAGTTTTGTTCCACCCTTGTCTCTGCAAAACAAAGTTTGTGAATTCAGTTAAATAATTGTTAAAATATATCTGTCATTTGTGTGTTTTTAGCTTTCTTCCTGTATGGGAAGCTTTTCAAAACTTGAAACATTAGTGCAGTGGTTTATGTTAAAATAAACCTTTGGGTTAAGTTGTCGCAAGCGGGTTTTTCTTGTGTTTCTTGTGAATTTGGTCTTAAATTTTTATTTCAAGCAGCATTAAAAAGTCTTAAAAAGTCTTGAATTTAACTTGCCTTATGTTGTAGGAACCCTGACACTGCTGCTGGGAGTATAACCAGCCCTTTAGACCGACGAAAGCCTCTGGACCAGATGGGATTCCTGCAAGACTGCTGAGAAACTGTGCTGATGACCTCTGTGAGGTTCTCACAGCTACATCCAGAACCTGAGCCTTAAGTTATTGATCTGGGATATAGATCTAGATCATGGGGGTGGGGTGTTCTGCGGCCTCTTAAGCTGGCGCTGTTCTCTCAGCCACTCCTCTAAAGATTTGCCCCCAGAGTTTCTGGGGCAGAAAGTGGCGCTGCCAAAGCGGCTGTATCCAAACTCTTTGGTTTTGGCCTGCCCACATGTGCTGCACTTATTAAAGGCCACCTCTCTGACATATTGCCTTTTGCTAGTCCCAGTGGCCGCCTCCTCTGCCCTGCGCCGCCTGTTCCTCCGGGTAGAGCGGGACACAGAGGGTGTGGGTGCAGGAGCCACTGGTGTTGCAGGTAGAACCAGTGTAGGAGCAACATCTGCTGCCATCATGGTTGATCCAGGGTTCACCAATAACAACTGCAATGGTGGCACAGGAGCTAGGAGAGGAGGCGCTCCTGGGGCAATGTGCTGCACAGCCTTGGCACTGCTGGACCCCCTGGGTGGCCAGTTTGCACCTCTTCACACTTTCCACTTCTGGGTTCACTCCAATGTTCTAAGGGGCCCTGAGTCAGCTTAGTTTGGTGTCTTGGCTGATAGCTGATCCTGCTCTTGTCCGCATCTGGAAGGGCAGACCAAAGGCGGATGACCTCTGTGACCTGCTGCTGTTCCAGGTAGAGAGCCTGACGGAGGGACACCAGGTACTCTGCCAAATCCTGCACCTTATCCCAGCCAGGGATGAAATCAGGTCCATGAACTGCAGCCTGCAAGGAAGCATTAGAACAGAAACACAGCATGTCAAAAATCTGAGTGTCAGAGCAGACGTATATATGGAGCTGCATATAATGAGTAGACTACTCACAGGAGGCTGGACTGCAGCAATGGAGCCAGCTGATGCTGCAGGACCAGAGGCTCCACTTGGCTGTGCAGGAGGCAGAGGAGGCTCAGAGGACTGGAGCAGAGGACTCAGTCCTTGACTGGAGGTGGAAGGCTGTGGTGAGGGTGGTGCGGAGGAAGAGGGACTGTAGGGCGCTGCTGTGGACTGCCACAGTCTCTGAGGAGTCATAGAGGACGGGGACAGTCAGGTCCTCAGATTCCTCCTCCACAAAGCCTTCATCTTCAACCGCCTCATCATCCATCTGCTCGACCAGTCGATCCTCTTCCTCTGGGTCTCCCTTTACAGTCAGGGACTGACCAGACTGGCTGTAAAGGTTCTCCATTCCTAGAAGCTCCCCTGTGGAAGAACACAGGAAAACAAAATTAAAAAATATTAGTGAAGAAACTAACCTTATTTAAATACTCTATTGACCTGACTTGATTACACAATATTTCATCTGAATATAAAAAAATCTTCATAAAATACTGCTGAAGTACTTAGTACTTCCTGTACTAATTGAGTCTGATACTTTGACTACTAGCATGTTGCTTTAGTACTTTCATATCAATGATGAATGTTTGTTGAAAGACATCATCAGAAAATCCATTATGGATTTTTTTATTGTTAAATATGAGCGGACATGACTCCTTCTTGCCTGTGTACGTCCCCGGAGGTTGGTAGCGCTCATCCAATGGCGTCTTCAAGACCTTGCGCCTGAGTCAGTCCATGGCCTCCCTCTCAGCACTGCTGTAGGTCCTCAGCCCTGAGTTCCCCCTGATTGCCTCCTCCATCAGACCTTCCAGGAGGTGGGCATGGAAGTGGGCGTCGCTGGCACTGGTCCCTACAGGTTAATCACAAACAAAATTCAAATACTCTGTTCAAAACCACATCAAAACTAAATTAAAACTGTAACCACCCACCTGGGATGAAACGGTTGAGGTGGAAGGACTCTAAGGAGGTGGAGCCACGAGCACAGCGGTAGCAGCAGAGCTCCATGCCACCCTTCTTCAGCGTCCCCGTCTTCAGGTACAGAGGGAAGCCTTCTGGGTCCTGAATACAGGCGATGTGTCTCTCCTGGTCTTTCCACACCTGCTGGATGCGCTGGTCGTCCAGCAGTGGAACTACCAGAGTGTCCTTCCCCTTCTCACTGTCCATCTCATCTATTAGGGCCTTTATCCTCCTCGTCGTCTCCTCCACCCCTCTTGTCCTCTTCCAGGCAATGCAGCGCCAACTCCTTCCTGCTGATCATTTGGTCCAGAGCTGTTTCAGAGACTGGACCAATCCTCTGGTTAGAAGCTCCTCCCCTTTGGCCAGCCGAAGAGCAGCAGCATCTTCTGGGTCTAGCTCAAAAATGCACCTGGAATGTTCATTTTGACAACATTCTCTGAGTTACTTTAAGACAAATGTTGCAGCTGCAGTGGTTTTCTCCCCTTTCTTGTCAGGGTTCTGGATGCAGGCCTTCTGCAGGTGTTCTATTTTGCCCTAATTGGTGCTTGTCTGCTTTAAAGGCTGTCATACAAGCAGCAGACAGGAGGCTTCTCCCTCTTACCTCCTCAGAACCCTGTTTGGTTTGGAGCTGTAAATTTAGTTGCAATTCAAGTTAACAGTTATATTTCCTTTGTAATTTTCTTTTAATTAAGTTAAATGCTATACAAATGTCCTCAATTTAATCTTTTCTATTAACCTGAAAAATGACTACTAAATATACAAGCAGGATGACTGTTTACCTCGACAGCCGAGCCATGAAGGTGCCGTAGAGCTGATGAGCCTCAGTGATGACTCCTGCTGCAAAACGGCGCATGAAGTGCCAGATGTCCAGGCGCACTATGAGCTCATTCCACTCAGAAAACATGGCCCTGACCTGCGACTGTCTTTGTGCGTGCTGGCTGCAGCAGTCCCGGTCCACATACATGATGACAGGCGGTGGCACTCCTGCCTCTCTGTACCTCCTCATGAGACCCGCTGCCATGGGCCACAGTCCATGCCCCTCTGCGGCGGTCAGCACAGACACCAGAACCTGGCCGTGCTCATTGGCCACATTTGTACACCAGCCGGCAGTGTTGGCAGCTGCACCAGCCAGTTTTTTGGTAACCTAAGAAAAACCAACACAGTTAATAAGACTTAAAATAAAAACACTGAGAATAATTTGGGCTATTTTTTTTACCTTTTTGGTGGAGTCCATCTTAAGGACAGAGCCAAATACCGAAGTTATTTTGGCCTTGACCTCAGGTAGCCGTGACAGGACGTCCCTGGCATACACAGACAGAAGCCACTTGGGTTTAGGAAGGGGCGGGAGCGGCGGCGGGGCAGAGAACACTGGAGGCTCAATGATGGTGGAGTCGACGAAGGGCTCGCAGGCAGTGAGGTACTCCAACGTGCGTCGTGTCCACGCAGCACTGTGCTCCTCCTGCAGCTTCTTGTAAAGCTGCGTGACACTGTTGCCCTGGGTCCTCTCCCGCATCATGATGACCACACGGTAGTCACATGAATACCTACAGACAGCAGAATGGGTCAATGTACTTACATTAAGGAAAAACCCAAGATTTTATGCTGTTTAGTATCAGCAGAGGCCCATTATAGGACAAAAAATATATATAATAGATATGTAATACCTGTTTGTCAGAATGGCAGGGAATTTTCTGCGGTGCCCAATGTCCAGCTGTCCCAGAATGTCCTCAGACCAGGCTGGACACTTCTTCTTGCACCTTTTGCACTCTAGATACTCAGTAGCCATGTCATACCACCCATCTATGTCCAGGACCTTACGCACAGTGCGGTAGAGGCCAGCAGCTGTCAGCTTGTGGTTACTACAGGCTGGCTGGATACAGACTAGGGCAATGGACCACAGCTTTAGCGGCATCCAGAGGAACAAAGGGCGGCAGAAGAAGACAACTCACTGTCCATCTCATCTATTAGGGCCTTTATCCTCCTCGTCGTCTCCTCCACCCCTCTTGTCCTCTTCCAGGCAATGCAGCGCCAACTCCTTCCTGCTGATCATTTGGTCCAGAGCTGTTTCAGATACTGGACGAACTCCTCTGACCAGAAGCTCTCCCTGTTTGGCCAGCCGAAGAGCAGCAGCATCTTCTGGGTCTAGCTCAAAAATGCAGCTGGAATGTTCATTTTGACAACATTCTCTGAGTTACTTTAAGACAAATGTTGCAGCTGCAGTGGTTTTCTGCCCTTTTCCTTGCAGGGTTCTGGATGCAGGCCTTCTGCAGGTGTTCTGTTCTGCCCTAATTGGTGCTCGTCTGCTTTAAAAGCTTTCATACAAACAGCAGACACGAGGTTCTCCCTCTTTCCTCCTCAGAACCCCGTTTAGTTTGTATCCTATGGTTGGGTTTTTGTTCGGTTTGCTGCATTTGCTTATTTCTGTTTAGTTATAGCTTTTGCCTTAATCCATTTTTGATTTACCATTTTATTTATCCCTTTTTTCAGGTTTTTGTGTCTTTAGTATAATTTAATAAATTACATTTTCAGTTTAAAGAAAATCCTTGCGTGGTCTCCTTTAATGTTACCCCCACTAAACAAGCCTGGTGGACGTAGCATTGTGGGGGCTTGTCCAGTTTATATGGACTAATTATGCTTGATTGGCCTCATCGTTGTGTTCAGGTTGCAGTTACATGCCCCAGACTTTGGTTTTCCCGTGTTGCAGGTTATTGGTAGGCTTTTTGGCTAGTTTAAGGTGTTTGGGAACCTTACTAGATTTTGGACATTTTTAATGTTCCATATATATGTTGTTGGAGGTCCATGGGGATGTTTGTACATCTGTTGGTGGGGGAGAGAGAGAACTTTTTGTTTTGTAGTAGGTAAGTGCTGTTTGGTGTTTGTTGTTTTGGCAACTCCATTTCAGACAACCCTGTTTATTATTTTAGTTTGTTATTTTTGGGCTGGACTCTGGGCTGAGGGCACCGCCGTGGTTTGCTGCCTGAGAGTTTTTGGCCTGGAGGGATTTGCTGCCAGCGGTATCTTGGTGCTTCAAGTGCCTTGGCTCTTGGAGGAAAGCCTGAAGACAAGGCTAAGGTTAGTCAGGGATTTGATCAGTTAGTTAGTGGCAGTTTAATGGAGTTTTGCCATTTGTTTGTACCATTCATGCACTTCCTTATGGTCGCTGGTTAAAAAATACATTAATAAAAAAATAAATTGGTATACATTTTCTGACTAGTTTTGTTTTGGAAGTTGGTTTGTTGGATTATTTTGGTTTGACAATGGATAATGTAGGTTCTTTCTTGTCTTTCCCAACTTTGGAAATGTTGGAAAAGCTTACAAAGGAGCAGATTCGTCAAATAGCTGAACACTTTAAAATTGATCATGAAGCTGCGAAAGGATTAAAGTTGCCTCAACTAAGAAGTTTCTTAAGAGACACACTTGTAAAACTGAATGTCTTTACTGTTTCCCTTTCAGATGCTGCTGTGACAGATGTAACTTCTGATGGTTCATATTCTTTAACTGGTGCCTCAAAGTTGGAGGATGAATCATCAGGTCCAACAGTATCTCAAGCTTCTCAATTAAAGTTTCAATTTGAGAGAAGTGAGGTGAAAATGCAGATTGAGTTAAAAAAATTACAGCTAGCACATGAGCTTGAAGAGAGAAAACTTAGCTCATGAGTTGGAGGTGAAGAAAATATCTCTAGAAGCTGAGCGTTTGAAGTTGAGGTCTGAGGGCAGGTGAAGTGGTGGATCTTTCAAAAGGTCTCAAGGTGGTGATGGGTTTTCTGCATATAACTTGGTTAACATGTTGAAGCTGTTACCTAAGTTTAATGAGCAAGATCCAGATGTGTTTTTTCTCTATTTGAGGGCATGGCAGAGGACAATGACTGGAGTGATGTAGAATGTTCCATTCTGCTGCAAAGTGTGCTGGTGGGTAAACCTGGCCGTGCTCATTGCCCACATTTGTACACCAGCCGGCAGTGTTGACAGCTGCACCAGCCAGTTTTTTGGTAACCTAAGAAAAAACAACAAAGTTAATAAAACTTAAAATAAAAACACTGAGAATAGTTTGGACTTTTTTACCTTTTTGGTGGAGTCCATCTTAAGGACAGAGCCAAATACAGATGTTATTTTGGCCTTGACCTCAGGTAGCCGTGACAGGACGTCCCTGGCATACACAGACAGAAGCCACTTGGGTTTAGGAAGGGGCGGGAGCGGCGGGGGGGCAGAGAACACTAGAGGCTCAATGATGGTAGAGTCGACGAAGGGCTAGCAGACCATAAGGTACTCCAGCGCGCGGCGTGTCCATGCAGCACTGTGCTCCTCCTGCAGCTTCTTGTAAAGCTGCGTGACACTGTTGTCCTGGGTCCTCTATCGCATCATGATGACCACAGTAGTCACATGAGTACCTACATACAGCAGAATGGGTCAATGTACTTACATTAAGGAAAAATCAGACATTTTATGCTGTTTAGTATCAGCACAGGCCCAATATAGGACAAAAAAATTCTGTTTTCATGGATATGTAATACCTGTTTGTCAGAATGGCAGGGAATTTTCTGTGGTGCCCCATGTCCAGCTGTCCCAGGATGTCCTCAGACCAGGCTGGATACTTTTTCTTGCACCCTTTGCACTCTAGATACTCTGTGGACATATCATACCACCCATCAATGTCCAGGACCTTACGCACAGTGCGGTAGAGGCCAGCAGCTGTCAGCTTGTGGTTACTGCAGGCAGGCTGGATACAGGCCAGGGGAATGGACCACAGCTTTAGCGGCATCCAGAGGAACAGAGGGCGGCAGAAGAAGACATCAGGAGACGCCGGAGGCTGGGTAAAGAGAGCGGGGGGCTGAGGAGGGTACGACCAGAAGTTGGGGTGTGGGATCAACTCTGGCTTCCCAGTTTTGTTGTTGGCCCTGAACACGCTCTTCCTGATCCAGTCCTGCTGGAAGGAGGGGAGCTGCTCCTTCCAGTGTAATAATTTTTTTTGCCAGCTGTGATGGTGACAGATGTTTCCCCCTTACCAACAGGGCCTTTACACTGGCTGCCATCAGTGGTCTGCTCTGTGTGGAAGGAGGTGAAGGAGGAACAGTGGCAGAGAGCAGGCAGGCTGGAGCTGAAGCCTCCCTCTTCAGCACGTATTCCTTAAACAGAGCCATGTTCGTATTTGGCCTGGCCTTTGCTTTCTTCAGGTAACTGATGAGAGCCTGGGCCTCCTTGCTTGGGTCCTCAAACACCTCCTTCATGGACGGGCCCTTGAAGTCCCCGAACTCCACCATCAGACACCCAGAGTCACCGCTCCTCTGGGACTCCTGGAGCATAGCGTGTTTTTTCCTGTGCACATCCACAGCCTCTCCTATCTCCCTGATCTGGGAGGTGTACCTGAGGAACAGGTGTTTGCTTGCTGACAGTGGGGTGTCTCTCTCCTCCTCCCCCACGTTGCTGCTGACCAGGTTGACAACGTAGCCCAGAGAGTTCTCCAGCAGACCCAGGAACTAATGTTGAACCGATATCAGTATTGGGCGGGGGCCCCAATCCAGCACTAAAATGGTAGTATCGGTATCGGCGAGTACCAACAAATAGGGCACCGATACCGTTTTGATGTTCGTATGTCACCTGAACGCAGCCTTCTCTCTCCCGACACAGACTAGTGTTAACTATCGCTATTGGCCCGCTCCAGGCCAATAAAGGCGGGCCAATAGCCGCTCTTGACCAATGCCGGGGCAGCTTTTTCATGCAGTGGAAAAACAAACCAGGAGAAGAAAATGTCTGCGGTGTGGAAGTATTTCTTTATAGAAACGCCGGCAAGTACATCGGCTAAATGCAAGATTTGCGACCTGAAAGTTTCACGAGGTGGAGTTAAAACGGGCAGTTTCAATACCTTGAACCTGATCAAACATTTGAAGTCGAAACATGTAAACGAACATAAAGAGTTCAAGACTACCAAGCGAAGCCGGGAAGGACCGCAGCAACAAACCCTGGTCAGTTCACTTCGTGGGAAAGAGCAGTGGGAAGAGAAGAGTGAAGCAGCAAGACAGATGTCTGAGAAAATAACCGAGATGACTGTTCTCTCTAACCTGCCCCTCTCCTTCGTTGAAAGCGTGGGCTTACGGCTTTTTATGGCTCACGCAGTACCTAAGTATAAGGTCTAAAGTCGCAAATACATCACAGGGACTACTATCCCGGCACTGAAAAATAAAGTAACGGAGCATATTTTAGGAAAGTTAGAGGAGGCAGGGGCCATAAGCTTTTCAACCGACCTCTGGAGCAGCCAAGTCTCCCCGCTTTCCCTGCTTAGCCTGACAGCCCACTGGGTAGACTTGGAAACATTCACACCGGAAAGCATCATTCTACATGCGAATGAATTCAAGGGATCACACATGGGCGAAGCTATTGCAGGAGCAATAAAGAGCATGCTGCACAACTGGAGCATCCCGAAGTCAAAGGTAACGTACGTTTTCTAGTCTAGACTATGAAAGAAATGCCGCAGTAATTTGCGACCTATGTGAGAGAGAGAGAGAGAATTATGCTAATTCTTATTATTATTATTAAAGGTCCATGCCATTCTTCGGGACAATGCAAGCAATATGAAGAAGGCAATGAGGGACCTGGGAGTCTCCAGCCTGGGATGTTTCTCGCACATGATTCAACTCGTGGTGCACGACGGACTTCTGTCCCAGCAAAGTGTGAGCGATGAGCTGGCCAGTGGGAGAAAAATTATTGGGCACTTCAAACATTCCCCATTGACCACATTAAGAATCGAAACTGTCCAGGCAGGACTGGGAAGGCCAGTCAAACGTCTGATCCAAGATGTTCCCACTCGCTGGAACAGCACCATTTATATGACTGCGAGCCTGCTGGAGCAAAAGAGTGCCCTCTCACTCTACGCTGCAGACCACCAGCTCCCAGCAACACTGACAGCAAGTGACTGGATTTTGCTGGAGAAAA